AAAAATGCCATGTTCCCACCCCATTCTCTCTACCTTATCTTTCCCACAACACTCAGTAATACAATATTCTTATTTTTCTACTTATTTTCCCCAGGACTACAATTTAAGCCCCACTATTCTTGTTAACTACTGCATCCCCAGTGTCTAGAACAATGCTAGGCAGTGTTAGACATTAAGCTTTTTCTTTTTTCTTCTTGAGACATTAAGCTTTTTCTTTTTTCTTCTTGAGACAGAGTTTCATTCTTGTTGCCCAGGCTGCAGTGTAATGGCGCGATCTCGGTTCACTGCCACCTCCGCCTCCTGGGTTCAAGTGATTCTTCTGCCTCAGCCTTCTGAGTGGCTGGGATTACAGGTATGTGCCACCACACCCAGCTTATTTTGTGTTTTTATTAGCGATTGGGTTTCACCATGTTGGCCAGGCTGGTCTTGAATTTCTGATCTCAGGTGATGCACCCGCCTCGGCCTCCCAATGTGCTGGGAATACAGGCGTAAGCCACCCAGCCCGGCCAAAGCATTCAAAGAACATTGTGAAGCAATTGGTTTGAAAGGCAATGATGTGCTCCCTTAATCCTCAGGATGGTGTCCCTGTTCCCTCTGTCCATACCTAAGATGGAAGCTTATTTAACAATTCATTCATTCACTCAATTCTAGTAACAACTGATATCTGGGAAGGTTATCACAGTGACCATACAACCAGAATCATCTATTTCACAATTCAAACCAAGATTTGATTTTAAGATGGCACAGAGAATTTCTGCCAAATATTTTTGTAGGTAACTGCCATCACAAATTTACATGCAAGAGGTTACATGACTTCCCCCAAGGTCACATGAAACCTCAAAACCCCAGTTATCTCAAGGCAAAACCAAACACCTAATAAACATATTTTCAACTGCTCAACCCCTCTTGTGTACTACTCAGTCATATGCACAAAAATAAATGCTAAAAAACAGAGAGTAAATGTGGTTTTTCAAAAATCTCACCTCCTTGGCTGGTTGCAGTTGGCTCACACTTGTAATCTCAGCACTTTGGGAAGCCAAGCCAGGAGGATTGCTTGAGCACAGGAATTTGAGACCAGCCTGGGCAACATAGTGAGACCCCCATTTCTTTAAAAAACAAAACAAAACAAAACAAAACAAAAACCCACATCCTATTTTCTTGTTTCTAATCTTACTATCTGGTAGCAGGTACTGTCAAACAAGAGTACACATTCAGCTTAGCACTGTTCTGAGGTTATGGTGCATCTATGGATCCACAGGTTGAGCTCGATGCCAAAGGGAAGCAGTATAATGCCAGTTGCTAAGCCCCTAGGCTTCGGAATCAGACATGTCCAGATTCAAATCATACCTACTAACAACTACTGATAAGGGCCTAGGCCTTATTTTGTTTTGAGACAGAGTCTCGCTCTGTCACCCAGGCTGGAGTGCAGTGGCGTGATTGCAGCTTACTGCAACCTCCGCCTCCTGGGTTCAAGGGATTCTTCTGCCTCAGCCTCCTGAGTAGCTTGGACTACAGGCGCGAGCCACCATGCCCGGCTAATTTTTGTATTTTTAGTAGAGATGGAGTTTCACCATATTGGCCAGGCTGGTCTTGAGCTCCTGACCTTGTGATACACCTGCCTCAGTCTCCCAAAGTGCTGGGATTACAGGTGTGAGCCACCGTGCCTGGCCACGTATTTATTTAGCAATTATATAGCCCTTACTAAGTACCAGGAAGGGTTCTAAATACTTTGCAACTATTACATGATTGAAACAGATATATTCTTTTTATTGTATCTAAAGGCAAGGAAACAGGTGCGGAGAGGTTGAGTAACTTATCCAAAACCACAGCTATATGAGTATTAGAGTTATTACAGAATTCAAATCTAGGTTGTCTGATGCCAGAGTCCATGCTCTCAACCATAACACTATGTTTGCTCTCTGTTTCTTCATCTATAAATCAGGTTAATAAACCTGACTCATCTCACAGAGTCATGTGAAATTAGTCATACACAGTAAGATAAATGCTAGGTACTCTTAGTGCTGGGAGTAACACCCATCATTCTATTATCTACCTTCACCTTTGGTCCAGCCAAGGAAAGAAAAATACCGTATTTGGCTGAGAAAGATCTCCAAGGCCCTCTGCAGTCAGGTACATTAGAATACAGTGCAAGTTCCACAAGAACAGGGACTGTCTTTGCTTACCACGGTATTCAGAACAAGCAGTGGGCGCTCAGTAAATATATGGTGAATGAAGCAGGAATGAATTGACTACAGCCATAGGGTTCTGCATACATGACTATTAAGGTGGTAACCATCATTTCACAAATGTATCTAAGCACAAAAGAGGTAAATGTACAAGCTTCTCAGAGAAACTGTGTTAGTTGGTTACTTGAGACAGCCTGGTTATTGGGAGGCAGTGTGCAAACCGCATAATATTGTTCATTCATCTTAGCTGAAGGAACAAATAAGGAGACCAGGATTTTAATCCTGACTCTGCTACTGGAAGTCACCCAGGCTCTCAAGGTCTTAAATTTTCCACCTGCAAAAGAGGTTAGTCGACATGATGGTGGTAAACTCATTCTACTTACTCATCACTTTCTAACATCCAGTTGCTGAATATACATTTGTTCAATGAAGATCATCCTCAATTGACAATGGATTCAGGAAGTAACTTACTCAAGGTCACAGGATCAGGAAAGAGTATGAACTACAGCCCAGATCTCCTTTTACACCAGTCTGATACTCATACTTTCCAAGATCCTTTTCAGTTCAAAATGGTGTGATATTCTTCTTCTCTTCCAAGGTCAAGAACTCTATAATCATTTATCTTACCAAATAATCTTGACTGACTCCCTTAACTCATGAGACAGGAAGAAACAACTGTTTCCACATCATTAACCTAGAGAATCAAAAGACTTGAAGAGGCCAGATGGGGTGGCTCACACCTGTAATCCCAGGACTTTGGGAGGCTGAGGCAGGCCGATTACTTGAGGTCAGTAGTTTGTGACCAGCCTGGTCAACATGGTGAAACCCTGTCTCTACTAAAAATACAAAAATTAGTCAAGCATGGTGGCACACGCCTGTAACCCAGCTACTCGGGAAGCTGAGGCAGGAGAGTCACTTGAACCTGGGAGGCAGAGTTACAGCCAACCAAGATTGCACCATTGCACTCCAGCCTGGGTGACAGAGCGAGACTCTGTCTCAAAGGAAAAAAAAAAGACGTGAAGAGATAATCAGGTGCAATAGTTTGCCTTTGCCCAGAATTGAGATCAGAAATATTTTCTTTCAGATAAAAGATTTTATTTTAAACCACATGGTTTAAATTTAAGCAATGTGATTAAAAATAACTTCAAGTACCACAATGCTTCCTGAGAGTACAATGCATAACAACTTATAAAATTCTATTATCAAAGTTGCGCCACTGGATCCAAAAAAAGATTCACAAAGTTAACTGTGAAAGGTTGACAGAGAATGTCTACAGATGCTTGCTTGCTTTATTTTTATTAATGAAAGACACATTTGACATTCAACCTTTGAGTATAACAACTTCCCAGGGCTGTCAAGTTAGAAGTGAAAAAATCATCTGGCAGTCGGTCAGCTTTCTAGATAGCTCCTAACGGGGGAGTCAAGGTCAAACTGGAGTCTCCTTATCCTCCCATATTTGACAAGCAACTTACTGTGAGCTCAAAATATTCGTACTGCATTCTGACAAACAGAAATAATCGCACCCTGGTTCAGAAAGTTCTGTGAGGGCAGGCTGACATAAACAAGAACTCAGTGGTGGTAGGGCCCATGCTTCTGCCACAGCACTTCGGTGACACTCTAAGAACCAGAACTTCCACCTACTTTCTACCAGTTTTATCACCTATCAAATGAGAAAAATCATCTCATTCCTATGATTACATGAATCAAATAATATTAGGAAGAATTAAAAAACAGTCCTCAAATCTTGTGCAAACGTGAGAGACTATTATTATTATTTACTACGTAGGGGCCCAGAAGACCACCTCCCCACCTCGGGCATTCCATGTTCCGCAGGGTCCTCAAAAGGTGGTACAGGGTCCTAGTTTCTTCTCCAGACTCCAGGCCTGGCAACCGTAGATGCTGTCATGTCTCTGTTGCTAAGAGATGGGAAGTGAGGCCTCAGGAACTGGGCCTAGAAGGCTCAACAACGACCGCGCCCCCTAGTCACCTTGTCCTCACCTTGAGGAATGGAAAGACACCCCACGGGAGCAGGGAATGCTGTCCTCAAAAAGAAGGAAGAGGTGCCTCCGCTCTTCACCCGGCCGCCGCTGCTTGGGCCCACGCTTCTTGCGAGGCGGGGACAGGGCCAGGAAAGCTGACTGTGCCGGGGACGCCTTGACCTAGGGCACCAGAGGAGCGGACACGGGTGCCGGGCCCACAACCGGAACAGGTACACGAGAAGTTGGCCCCAGGTCGGGCCCGCCTCGCCCTGCCTCGCCCATAGCCGCCGGCACAGTAGGAGGCACCCCGCCCCCGTGAACCCAGAGGTCCCTGAGCTCGCTCACCTGCAGCCGAGTCACCAGTAGGCTGTAGGGCGCCATTTTGTGCACTGACAAAGATGAGGTCGCATGCAAGTGACGTCCCAAACGGCGCCTTTTAAAGCCTTTGGGCAGGGGCGTGCCCGGAAGAGTGGGGCGTCACGGTGAAGGCGAGGCCTCCCTAGGGGCACCAGAACCCTGGGAACGCAATGAGCGGAGCTCAAGAGTAATGAACAGACACGCAAGAGGAAATAGAACTGCCTAAAGACACTTGCAGAAGTAGATACCAAGCACAAATATGTTTTATCCAAGAACAAATTTTAGTTATCTCTGCCATCCAAATCTGGGAGTGTTTTTAAGACTTTCATGCACCTGCCAGGACCTGGCCACCTAGCAGCGACAGAAACTCGCGCGAGAGCAAGAGGGGCCTGGTGCAAGGATCGTAAACTGACGGAAGCTTAGAGGACCAATCACAGCGACGTGGAGGCAGGAACAATGGGAAATAAAGGTCGGACGGAAGTTCCCGAAGCTTCCGGTGGCCGGCTTAATTGGGAGCTATGGCTAAACATCATCCTGATTTGATCTTTTGCCGCAAGCAGGCTGGTGTTGGTGAGGCTGCGCCCTGCCCCCGTCTGTCTGGGTAGGGGTGGTATTAGGAGCTGGGGGGTCGGGGGTTCCCATCACTTCCTTAGTGGCTTGCCCAGCTGGCGCCACGTTTCCCGCCTCTCGGGCGCGGGGTGTTGTAGGAACGCGCAGGTTTGTGGCCGCTGATGAGAAGAGGGCGGGGGTGCGCGTGCTGGGAGCCCCAGGCAGGTATCGGGGGTGGGGTCTGGGCCAGGTCCACAGAAACTCAGAGCTTGCCCCAGGACGTTGGAGGAGATTCAGAAGGGTGGTTGGGCTGTGGGTTTGGTTCATTTGGAAATTTGTAATGATAAAATGGCTATCCGCAGGTATCACTGCAGTCCGTACTCATGTCCCTACCCCCAGCTCGAGGATGTACTTCCCGTTTGTCAAAACCTTTATTCTAATTGTACTTTTTAACCATCTTTCATCTTGCAGCCATCGGAAGACTGTGTGAAAAATGTGAGTGGAACCTACCGTCCCAACAGCCCACCCTTCCCACTCCCAGTTTCTGTGGAACCAGCAAAAGTGCCACAAAGAGGGCTTTGAGTAGATGTGCCTGGAAGTATGTGAACACTGAATGCTGGACTTCAACCAAAGGCCCCTCTGTCTCCCCACTGCCACTTGCACATTTAACGCTGTATCTCTCTAGTTTTCAACAGGAAAAATCGCCAGAGTAGCATGACCCCTCCCTAACACACAGCACTTTGCCGGCAATTATATAGGCTTATTATCTCTGAGGTGATTTTCTAGGCTCTTTACATATGTTAATTGATAAACTTTTGTATATGTTGAGGGCCTTGAGATGGATACTGGGTAAACCAAGTTTCGTGATGCCAAGAGGAGGGTCCTAAAGTCACTGTCAAAAGGAGACTAGTGTATTTCCCCATGGCAGGAGATAGCAGAGGACTGAAGAACTTGTTGTGAGTATGACTCCATTCTCTTCCTTACAGGTGATGGCAAGTGTGTGATTTGTGACTCCTATGTGCGTCCTTGCACTCTGGTGCGCATATGTGATGAGTGTAACTATGGATCTTACCAGGGACGCTGTGTGATCTGTGGAGGCCCTGGGGTCTCTGATGCGTATTATTGTAAGGAGTGCACCATCCAGGAGAAGGATGTAAGTGTACAGCTTTCCATCTGACCTTTCCTGCTTTTGTTTAGTAATACTTTGCCATCCACTGCAATCTCCTATGGTCTATGGAGATTACTGTGTTCATCTAGTCATCTAGGTTATAATTTTTTCAAGTTCTGTGAGTCAAACTGGGTGTAGTTCAATAAAAGGCAGTTATTTTGCATCAAGGGGAAAAATGCAAGGGAAGCAAATCTTTGTCAAGACCAGCAATTTGAAGAGCTCTCTCTCTATTCATGTTTCTCTGTGATTATTTTTATTCAGAAATGACATCCGGCTGGGCGTGGTGGCTCACACCTGTAATCTCAGCACTTTGGGAGTCCAAGTTATGAGGATCACTTTAGTCCAGGAGTTCAAGACCAGCCTGGGTCACAGAGCAAGATCCCATCTCAACAACAACAACAAAAAACAATTTGGTTTTTTGGTTTTGTTTTGTTTTTTTGTTTTTCTTTTTTTTGAGACAGGGTCTCTTGCTCTGTGGCCCAGGCTGGGGTGCAGTGGCATGATCACGTGCAAGACTCACTGCAGCCTTGACCCCCCCGGGCTCAAACGATCCTCCCACCTCATCCTCCCAAGTAGCTGGGACTGCAGGCATGCGCCACCACACCTGGCTAATTTTTTTTTGTAGAGACAGGGTCTGGTCTTGTTGCCTAGGTTGGTCTCAAACTCCTGGGCTCAAGTGATCCTCCTGCCTTAGCCTCACCAGGTGCTGGGATTACAGGCATGAGCCATCACTCCTGGCCAGAAAAACGTATTTTTCATTAGTCGGGTGTGCTGGTGTGTACCTGTGGTCCCAGCTACTTGGGAAACTGAGGCAGGTGGAGGATCACTTGGGCCCAGGAGGTCAAGGCTACAGTGAGCCATTTTCATGCCACTGCACTCCAGCCTGGGTGACAGAGACCCTGTCTGTTTATAAGGCCTGTACAGCCCATGTTGTGTCATAGCCACTCATTAATGTCTCAGATCTATCATTAAGCACTATTCGGGTGTGTATCGTGACAAAGTTGAATTTGGGACGATTCAAGTTGACTTCAGCTTTAAGCAGGTAACAAGTACCTTTGGTTTAATATTGCAGAAGTGATTGTGGCCCTGCATCATGACTTTTTTTTTGTCCCTTGACACTGCGTAGTGGCAGTGGTTACTTACTATTCAACTCTCTGAGCCAAATGCCAGGATAGAGAGCTTATAGACCAGTGCTACAGGCAAGGTTTACCCCATTTCTTTCGTTTAGTATTGGCAGCAGGGTTTTTGTGGGGGAAAACTATGAATCAACTTGTTTTCTTCAAAAAACAAAACAAAAGGAAGTATGATACAGTCTCACTAGGTTAATGATAGTACCCAGTTATCTAATTTATTTATTTATTTGTTTTTTATTTTTTGAGACGGAGTTCACTCTTGTTGCCCAGGCTGGAGTGCAGTGGCACAATCTCGGCTCACCGCAACCTCCGCCTCCCGGGTTCAAGCAATTCTCCTGCCTCAGCCTCCCGGGTAGCTGGGATTACAGGCATGCGCCACCACGCCCAGCCCATTTTGTATTTTTAGTAGAGACGGGGTTTCTCCATGTTGGTCAGGCTGGCCTCAACTCCCAACCTCAAGTGATCCGCCCACCTTGCGTCTCCCAAAGTGCTGGGATTACAGGCCTAAGCCACTGCGCCTGGCCCAGTTACCTAATTTAATTCTAATTCAGAGTAAGGCAAAAGATACATAATTCTTCATATTTCCATGAGCAAAGAATAGGTCTTTTATAGATGTTATCACACCTTGTTCCTCACAATAAGTTTGAGAAATAGGGATGATTATTATGATGCCCATTTTATAGTTCCTCTGACAAGCCCAGGCTATTCAACGAAACCTTGTAGTGTCCCCATTTCACCATGTTGTACTTTTATTTATATATTTATTTTATTTTATTTTATTTTTTGAGACAGAGTTTCGTTCTTGTTGCCCAGGCTGGAGTGCAGTGGCGCCATCTCGGCTCACCACAACCTCCGCCTCCCGGGTTCAAGTGATTCTCCTGCCTCAGCCTCCCGGGTAGCTGGGATTACAGGCGCCTGCTACCACCCCCGGCTAATTTTTGTATTTTTAGTAGAGACGGGGTTTCATTGTGTTGGCCAGGTTGGACTCAAACTCCTGACCTTGTGATCCGCCTGCCTGGGCCTCCCAAAGTGCTGGGATTACAGGTGTGAGCCACCACGCCTGGCCTTATGTTACCCTTTAATGTGTGCTTTTGGGATGTTTCCATGGTGAAGGCAACAACGCCAGTACCTCATTTCATGCACTTGGATCCTGCCTACCCCCAGTAATTGGGAGAGATTGGGCCAGATAAGACTATACCATTGGGCCAGGCACAGTGGCTCATGCCTGCAATCCTAGCACTTTGGGAGGCCAAGGTAGGTGGATCACCTAAGGTCAGGAATTTGAGACCAGCCTGGCCAACATGGTGAAACCCCGTCTCTACTAAAAATACAAAAATTGGCCGGGCGCGGTGGCTCACGCCTGTAATCCCAGCACTTTGGGAGGCCGAAGCAGGCGGATCATGAGGTCAGGAGATCAAGACCATCCCCGCTAACACGGTGAAACCCTGTCTCTACTAAAAAAATTAAAAAATTAGCCGGGTGTGATAGCGGGCGCCTGTAGTCCCAGCTACTTGGGAGGCTGAGGCAGGAGAATGGCATGAACCCAGGAAGTGGAGCTTGCAGTGAGCGGAGATCACGCCACTGCACTCCAGCCTGGGCAACAGAGTGAGACTCCGTCTCAAAAAAATAATAATAACAAAAATAAATAAAAAGAAAATACAAAAATTAACCGACGCGGTGGCACACATCTGTGATCCCAGCTACTTGGGAGGCTAAGGCAGGAAAATTGCTTGAACCCAGGAAGCAGAGGTTACAGTCAGCTGAGCCGAGATCAGAACATTGCACTCCAATCCGGCAACTAAGAGCAAAATTCCTTCTCAAAAAAAAAAAAACCAGTACACCATTGAATCTTCTATTGTTTAGGGAGATGAGAAAGGTCCTGAAGTAACAAAAACATAATTTCCGTTAGTGATTTGGACCATTCTCTTGTCCGCAACTCCGATTTGCATTTACCTTCAACTATTAAGTCATATCCTGCTGTCCGGAAATCCGTCTAGTCTACTAGCTAGATTACACTTCATTAGAGGCAGGACTTTGGTTTGTCTATTCGCCTCTCCTTTTCCTTAGGCCATGGTATGGTGCCTGACATGCGGTGCAAGCATGGTACATGTGTTTTGGTGCTGTCCCTGTAAGTCATCCAGAGGTATCCCCTTTAGGGTGTCTAATACATAGTAGGTGTTTGTTAACTTCTGGTCTATAAGCAGTGAAAGCATAATAAGGTAACAGTAGTGAAGAAAACTTACAAACAGTTCCTAAACTAGCTACAGGGTAGCTATTTAAGACAGCATTTTCTTGAATTTTTGTATGGTTCTAGCTAGAGTTCTTATCTAGCATAAGCTTGCAACCAGAGAATGCTTAATAAATGTTAATTGCTGTCTGACTCCTCTGAATGTGGTGTGTGAACTGATACCTTTGGATCCTCATGCCTCATTCTGTCCCTGAGACTTATTCTAGACGTCACTTCCCCGCCTTCACATTATACACGAATGTTCTGAGGACATTTGAGATGGAATCTAGCTCACATTTTCAGCGCTAGTTTCCAAGGAACACAAAGTCTAGTGACATGATCCAGGCTCTCAGCCTTACAGATCATCACGTAGATTAAGTGGCCAAGGCTCTTTCCTATGCAGAAACCTTCCTACAACCAAGGCAACCCTTGTTATTGTTCTCTTCCTGCAACTTTCATAATTGATAAGGGAATTAGACAGGTAAGCTAAGCCAGGTATTCTCATTTATAATTTTTCAAAGCCACAAGAATAACCAGGAGACAGGGATGATGTCTATGGACATTGCTACCAGAGGACTAATTGGTAGGTTCTTATGGTGCCGCATCGTGTAATCCCCTTAATCTTGATTCCTTTTGCTTACCATTTTCCTCAGTTCTCCCAACCAGAACATAAGAAAAATAGCACTAACATTTATGAAGCTCTTAATATATGCCAGGTGCTTAGCTGAACATTGTTATCCAAAAGTTCCATGTGATACAGATGAGGATGCTAAGGCTTAGAGACGTTAAGCAACTTGGTTAGTCCAAGGTCAAGTGGCTAATGAGTGACAGATCAGGACTAGAACCTAGGAGGTCTGACTCTTTTTTAATTAATTAATTAATTTTTTTTTTTTTTTTTTTAGTTTTTTGAGATGCAGTTTTGTTCTTGTCGCCCAGGCTGGAGTGCAATGGCATGATCTTGGCTCACTACAACCTCCACCTCCCAGGTTCAAGCGATTTTCCTGCCTCAGCTTCCCAAGTAGCTCGGATTACAGGCACACGCCACCATGCCCAGCTCTTTTTTTTTTTTGAGACAGTCTCACTATGTCGCCCAAGCTGGAGTGCAGTGGTGTGATCTTGGCTCACTGCAACCTACACCTCCTGGATTCAAGCAGTTCTTCTGTCTCAGCCCCCTGAGTAGCTGGGATTACAGGTGTGCACCATCACGCCCGGCTAATTTGTGTATTTTTAGTAGAGACAGGGTTTCACCACGTTGGTCAGGCTGGTCTTGAACTCCTGACCTTGTGATCCACCCACCTTGGCCTCCCAAAGTTGCTGGGATTACAGGCGTCAGCCACTGTGCCCAGCCTAATTTTTCTTTCTTTAGTAGAGATGGGGTTTCACCATGTTGGTCAGCCTAGTCTCAAGCTCCTGGCCTCAGGTGATCCACCCACCTCGGCCTTCCAAAGTGCTGGGATTACAGGCATGAGCCACCGCGCCCAGCCTGACTCAGTGTTTCTTAACCTTTTATTTATTCATTCTCATCATTGCACCTCTAAGGAGAAAAGTTAAAAGTTAAAAGTTAATGTAAATTAATTAAATTTTCGGGCTAGCTAAGCTGTAAGTAGGCTGGGGGCAGTGGCTCATGCCTGTAATCCCAGCACTTTGGGAGGCCCAGGCAGGCAAATCACAAGGTCAGGAGTTTGAGACTAGCCTGACAAACATGATGAAACCCCATCTCTACTAAAAATACAAAAATTCGCTGGGCGTGGTGGCGGGCGCCTGTAATCCCAGCTACTCAGGAATCTGAGGCAAGAGAATCACTTGAACCCAGGAGGCAGAGGTTGCAGAGAACCGAGATAGCGCCACTACACTCCAGCCTGAGCAACAGGGTGAGACTTCGTCTCAAAAAAAAAAAAAAAAAAAGCTAACCTGTAAGTAAAGAACGGAGCTGTACAAATTGGAGGATTGGGTGATACCATCACTTGGTACCTTCCAGGAATATTTAGGTATCTATAAGGATAGTTTGTAAACCTTGACCTGATCTAGTCTTCTTCTTTTACAGCTGAGGAATAATATAAGTCCCAAGAGAAGCAACTTGCCCACATTTGCGTCAGTAAGGCACAGTTTAAGCTGTCATCATACCATGAGTTTCATAGCCTCTCTAAAGGGTTTAGAGTGCTGTTACTATGTTTAATATCAGGCCTTTGTCCAGGAGAGGCAGCTAATGCCTTATTTTTACAAGGACATTAAATATAGATTACATTGCTTACTTGGGTTCACCTAGCAAGCTATTGGTGGGTGGCTTCCTTGGTACACCAGGCTTCAGAGATGGAAGCTGTCAATGTAATGACTTGATACATGTTTTCTAGGAGATCCTAAAATGTTAGTGTTAGCTTTGTGTGTTTTCGGAGATTTTTGTAGTTGTTAACGTCTGCCCCCAAAGAAAGATGCTAGTTGAGTTAGAAATGAGTTGGCTAAGGACTTGATTAATTCATACTATTGCCTAATATCACAGGACTTAAACTCTGACATGGGTGTTTAATAAAATCAACAGACCTGTAGGGCTTTTCCAGTTACAGCTTCCCCGGTTTTTCTTCCATCATCCCTAATCAACTGGTGGAGTCATCATTTCTGTAGAATACAGCTTCCCAGGGGCTTCACTGAAAGCACTCAAGCTCATCAAATGGCCAGGGCAGCCTGTCATGACAAATCAGTGCATGGTCTGTCAACAGCCACCTATCACTAGCACAGTAGTGCTCTGTACCCCCAAGACCATGTGTTAAAGTAAGTGAATTAATGAAGACACATAAAACCCATTATTCTCCTATGGTATTTAAAATGTAAGGGCTGGGCGTGGTGGCTCACGCCTGAAATCCCAGCACTATCAGGAGGCCAAGGCGGGTGGATCAGAAGGTCAAGAGATTGAGACCATCCTGGCCCACATGGTGAAACCCCATCTCTACTAAAAATACAAAAATTAGCTGGGCGTGGTGGCGCGCCTCTGTAGTCCCCACTACTCGGGAGGCTGAGGCAGGAGAATTGCTTGAACCCCGGAGGCGGAGGTTGCAGTGATCTGAGATCACGCCACTGCACTCTAGCCTGGCAACAGAGTGAGACTCCGTCTCAAAAAACATGAAAATAAGGTATGGCCGGCCACAGTGGCTCACGCCTGTAATCCTAGCACTTTGGGAGGCTGAGGCGGGCAGATTGCCTGAGCTCAGGAGTTCGAGACCAGCCTGAGCAGCATGGTGAAACCCTGTCTCTACTAAAATACAAAAGACATAAGCCGGGCGTGGCGGCATGCACCTGTAGTCCCAGCTACTCAGGAGGCTGAGGCAGGAGAATTGCTTGAACTCGTGATGCGGAGGTTGCAGTGAGCCAAGATCGTGCCACTGCATTCCAGCCTGGCGACAGTGAGATTTTTTCTCAAAAAAAAAAGAGTTTCATAGTCTACCTCAACTGTATCATATTAGCAGCAGATATGGCTAAGATAAATGGCTAAACCATTAATCCAAAAGTTATAAAATGGTCTTTTTTTTTTTCTTGAGACGGAATTTCTCTCTTGTTACCCAGGCTGGAGTGGAGTGCTATGGCGTGATCTCAGGTCACTGCTACCTCCACCTCCTGGGTTCAAACGATTCTCCTGCCTCAGCCTCCTGAGTAGCTGGGACTACGGGCACGCACTACCACGTCTGCCTAATTTTTGTATTTTTAGTAGAGACAGGGTTTCACCACGTTGGCCAGGCTGGTCTTGAACTCCTGACCTCAGGTGATCCACCTGCCTCGGCCTCCCAAAGTGCTGAGATTACAGGCATGAGCCACCGTGCCCGGCCTACAAATGATCTTTCGTAAGTGCTAAGAGATAGGGAAGAAACTGATCTTGGCCTCCCAATGAAGGAGATACTGATGTTTGGACACATTTACAAACCCATTTATCGGGTTTTTCAAATACTAAAATGAGAATTTGAACTCTGACCAATTTTTTTTTTCAAGAGATGGGGTTCTCGCTGTGTTGCCTACAGTGGGGTACAGTAGCTGGCTATTCACAGGCATGATCATAGCTCACTACAGCCTCGAACTCCTGGGCTCCAGCAATCCTCCTGCCTCGGCCTTCTGAGGAGTAGCTGGGACTAAAGGCACATGCTACCACACTAGGCTTAAATTTTTTACCTTAAGTCACTCTTGGTTCAGGCTCAAAGACTTAACAACTTCTCTGTTCTGTTTTCCAGAGAGATGGCTGCCCAAAGATTGTCAATCTGGGGAGCTCTAAAACAGACCTCTTCTATGAACGCAAAAAATACGGCTTCAAGAAGAGGTGATTGGTGGGTGGCCCCTTCCTCCCCCCAACATCAAGCTGCTGCAGCTGCCAGAAAACATGCCTACTACTACCAGCAGAGAGGGAGCAGAGACCATAGCATCACCAGGAGTGCCTGCTAGTGTACTGGCAGCTTGCCACCCCCTCCTCTCCCTTCACCCAGACGTGGTAGGGATGGAAAAGGATTCTTCACAGAGCACTCTGGCACACCGTATTAGAGAAAAGTTGATAGATTAGTTAATGATTTTTCTTAAATTCGAGAAGCAGAGATCTGTTCTCCATATTGATATGTTCTCCCTCAACCAAGATCTTCTAAAAAGAAGTAATATTTTAGTCTTCTGCTTGAGGAGTTGGCTGTGAAGCTACAGCCGGTGAAAACCACGTTCTTGCAGCAGCTCTGGTGGCAGCTGTCCTTGAGGAACTTTTGGTGTGTGGTGGGAAGCTATCAGAACAAGAAATGTAGGCATTTACTGTTTTTGGGGGAGAGGGAGGGGTGCTCCACCATCTTGAAAGGCATTTATTCATTTAACACTTGTGTTGTCATGTTATTTTCCTTTTGAGAAATTGGAAACTCTGTTGCTATTATGTTAATAAAGTTGGTGTTTATTTTCTGGTAGTTACCTTCCCCATTTAACTTTAGGAATTTATTTTAGTCATCCAGGAATTTGTGATTCAAAACAAGAGGTAGTTGCCGGGTGCGGTGGCTCACGCCTGTAATCCTAGCACTTTGGGAGGCCGAGACGGGCGGATCACGAGGTCAGGAGATCGAGACCATCCAGATCGAGACCATCCTGGCTAACACGGTGAAACCCCATCTCTCCTAAAAAATACAAAAAGTCAGCCATACGTGGTGGTGGGCGCCTGTAGTCCCAGCTACTCGGGGGGCTGAGGCAGGAGAATGGTGTGAACCCGGGAGGCAGAGCTTGCAGTGAGACCAGATCGCACCACTGCACCCCAGCCTGGACGACAGAACGAGACTCTGTTTAAAAAAAAAAAAAAACCAGAAGTAGTGGGATTGGTTAAGTACTCTGTCCTCTTATTACCACTGGAAGGAATTCAAAACCACCCATACCTTTCATTATAGATAAATCAAAGTCATTTTTAGAAACGTACTATTTTTTCCTTCCTATCCAACTTTAATTTTGAATTGAAGAGATGGCTTCCAGTGATGGTGGAGGCTGGGCACAGTGGCCCATGCCTATAATTTCAGCACTTTGGGAGGCTCAGGCAGGCAGATCTTGAGCCCAGGGGTTCAAGACCAGCCTGGGCAACATGGCAAAAACCCATCTCTATGAAAAATATGAAAACTAGTCAGGTATAGTGGCATGCACCTATAGTTTAGTCCCAGCTACTCAGAAGGCTGAGATGGGAAGATCACTTGAGCCTTGGAGATTGAGGCTGCAGTGAACAGTGATCCTGCCACTGCACACCAGCCTGGGAGACAGAGCAAGACTGTCTCCAAAAAAAAAAAAAAAAAAACGGGCTGGGCACAGTGGCTCGCACCTGTATTCCTAGCACTTTGGGAGGCCGAGGCAGGCAGATCACTTGAGGCCAGGAGTTCAAGATCAGGGTGGCCAACATGGCGAAACTCTGTTGCTACTAAAAATAGAAAAATTAGCCAGGCATGGTGGCACACACCTGTAGTCCCAGCTACTCGTGAGGCTGACACAAGAGAATTGCTTGAACCTAGGAGGCAGAGGTGGTGGTGAGCTAAGATGATGCCATTGCACTCCAGCCTGGGCAGCAAGAGCAAAACTCCATCTCAAAAAGAAAAAAAAGAGTTCCAGTATAACCCAGAGGATGCACAAAGGAAAGATTCTAGGCCTACCTTGGAGGTGCCTCAGGAAGGCAGGGGAAGGCCATAGTCATAGGGCTACAGCACTTTCTGGGCTCTCTGAGCCACCCCTTTCTCTGCACTGCAGCCATAGGCTCCTTTTCAGTTCCACAACTGCTGCTTTTCTTTTTGCTTCTGCTTTGAGTTTATTTTTAACATGTTGATCCCTCCAGAATGCTTGTGCCCCCCTCCCTTTTACTCAGCTAACTCCTACTCCCTTCTGACCTTAGCCAAATATTTCCTCAAAGATGCCTCTCTGGACCCTTAATGTAAGTTCCCCTGGTACTCCCACATAGCATCATACGTGTTTTTTTTTGTTTGGTTGGTTGGTTTTGAGACGGTGTCTCTGTCGCCCAGGCTGGAGTGCAATGGCACGATCTTAACTCACTGCAACCTCTACTTCCCAGACTCAGCACTCCTCCCACCTCAGGCTCTGGAATAGCTGGGACTACAGGCATGCACCACCCTGCCCAGCTAGTTTTTTGTTTTTGTTTTTTTGTTTTTGAGATGGAATTTTGCACTGTTGCCCGGGCTGGAGTGTAATGGCACTCTGCTCACTGCACTCTCCGCCTCCCAGATTCAAGCGATTCTCCTGCCCCAGCCTCCCTAGTAGCTGGGATTACAGGCACCTGCCACCACGCTCAGCTAATTTTTTGTATTTTTAGTAGAGATGGGGTTACACTATGTTGGTCAGGCTGCTTTTGAACTCCTGGCCTCCCAAAGTGCTGGGATTACAGGCATGAGCCACCAAGCCTGGCCTGTTTTTTGTAATTTTTATAGAGACAAGGTCTCGCTGTGTTGCCCAGACTGGTCTCAAACTCCTGGATTCAAGTTACCCTCCTGCCTTGGCCTCCGAAAGTGCTGTGAATACAGGCATGAGCCACCACACCCAACCCTGTGTGTTTTCTTAGCATTTGGTGATCAGTGAAAGTAACCTATGACTGTGTCTACAAGAGCAGGAAGCAAGTTTGTTTTGCCCAGTAGGTAGCAGGTAGGTGTTTAGTATTGAATGACTACTTAAAGTCAAGGAAACTGGGTAATAAACTGGGCTTTGATATGTCAGAACCTACAGGCAAAGGGTGCAGTAGGCAAATAAAGGCATTTGTTGGGGGTGTCAACTTAAGCAAAGACAGTCGTGAACAGGGTGCTATATACTGATTGATTCGGATACGGTCTCACTTTGTCCCCCAACCTGGAGTGCAGTGGCATGAACACGGCTCACTGCAGCCTCAACCCCCAGGGCTCAAACAGTCCTCCCAACTCAGCCTCCTGAGTAGCTAGGAGGTGAGAACCAGCATGCGTGGTTTTTGTTTTTTTTTTTTTGTCTTTGTAGAGACAGGGTTTCACCATATTGACCAGACTGGTCTCGAACTCCTAAGGTCAGGCGATCCGCCTGCCTTGGCCTTCCAGTGTGTTAGGATTATAGGCATGAGCCACTACCCCCAGCCTAGGGTGATGTGTTTAGGGAGCTCTGAGCAATTCTAATCAATCAGTGAGGTGATTGCTATGGTTTGAATGTTTGTCCCCTCCAAAACTCATGTTGAAACTTGATCCCCAGTGTGGCAGTGTTCAGAAGTGGGACCTTTAGGAAATGATTGGGTCATGAGGGCTCTGCCCGCATGAGGGGATTCATCCTTTCACTGTTTTTGTTTTGTTTTGTTGAGACAGAGTCTGTCACCCACGCTGGAGTGCAGTGGCGTGATCTCGGCTCACTGCAACCTCCACCTCCCAGGTTCAAGCGATTCCCCTGCCTCAGCCTCCTGAGTAGCTGTAGGCACATGCCACCATGCCCAGCTGATTTTTGTGTCCACCACCATGCCTGGCTAATTTTTGTAATTTTAGTAGTGACAGGGTTTCACCATATTAGCCAGGCTGGTCTTGAACTCCTGACCTCAAACAATCCACTCACTTCAGTATGTATCCACCATTACAGCATAAGCCAATCTACCTGGCCCATCCTTTCACTGTTAATGGATTAATGGGTTCTCATAGAAATGGAACCAATGGCTTTTATTTACTGATTTATTTTTTGAGACGGACTCTCGCTCCGCCGCCCAGGCTGGAGTGCAGTGGTGCAAACTCGGCTCACTGCAAGCTCCACCTCCCGGGTTCACGCCATTCTCCTGCCTCAGCCTCCCGAGTAGCTGGGACTACAGGCGCCCGCCATCACGCCTGGCTA